CTCCGCTTCGCTCTCGTGGACGTAGGCACACCGCCGAACCACGTAAAATCCTTGTGTTGATTTTCGTTTTCATCTCTATAATATTGCGCATAAAATCCAACAGCTTCAACATCTAAGGAGTTTTAAGACTTTTCATTTATCTTAGCTGTTCTTTGTTGAAACAATGTTATCTTGGAATTTTATTTTTGAACTTTTTTTTCTTCTTTATTAAGAGAATCTTTCCTCTCTTGATCTATGTATCTTTATATCAAGGTCAATAAGATTATGCTTCTGACTAAAAAAAGGGACAAAAAATGTAGTGCATAGAATTTAAACCATCAGTCACTTCAAGATCAAGCTTATATATTTGTCAGTTGGGTGAACTGAGAGCAGTAGACAATTCCAAGCTTTCTACAGCAATTCAATTTTCAACAATCAACTAAACAAATGAAACTATTTTTTCTCATCCAGAAAAAGATTTAGAATCTCATAATATGGCCATACCTAGAAAAGATTTGAAAATGCTATATCCAGAATTAAATGAAATCAGACCTGAGAATTATCACCACGATCCTCATCTTCATCCTCAGCATCCCCAATTATCACTAAATAATCATTAGAGCTTTGTCAATCATTGCATAGTTCTTGCGGATCATTTAATGGAAAACTAAGAGCACAAGAACTAGGACAGTGTGGTCAATTTAGAAACTCACCTTCATTAATTCCAGCTAGAGCTAGCAACCTAGCTGCCATTTCCCGTTCTTCAGCATCTTGTAAGGCCCTAGCATAGGCCTCATCACTTGAAAAAGTCGAAGGGTCAAGTTCAACAGCTTGGTTCTCGTCCTCAACTCCTTCAGCATGAGCATGCACATCAAATGCATCTTCTGCATCATCATCTACCTCCAGATGAGTACCATTACAATCCTCTTCACTGGTATCATCCAAATAGTCGGCATCGTGATTGTCATCATCGTCGTCGTCTTCATCATGCCCATAACTCCCAGCTTCCCAACTTCCATAATCACTGCCACTGTGCATTCTCAGCATCATGTATGCCCTTTCCTATTGCACAGAAAACAGAGCCAATTAAATTTCAAGAAAAAAAGAAAGATAGAAAAGCTCTTGTTTAAGATAGAAGTTTATAAGAATCAGAACAAATATTTAAATTCATTTTCCTGTATACCAAACCATGTGTATTTCATTCAAATTATGGTAATATTGCAGGTACATCTAAGTCTAACAGCATAGAATCGTGTATTTATACAAAAACTGGATTTCAAAAGCATTCTAAATCTATCTCAACTAAACAGCCCAATTACAAAAATTTTGTCCACTGATTTACAATTAAGACGATAAAACAACGGATATAAGTCCATCTGAAACAGTAGAAGAACAATACACAATTAAGTTCACTTGCCATAAACCCTGATTAACTGAAGCTGAGGTGAAAAAACTCTACAACTTGAGAAAGCTTCTGATTATGGGACACATTTTGGTACCAAAAACAACTACTACTAAGGCTTCTAACCAAAGTCGGTCCTTCTTCATCCTTCTGTTCAAAAAGTATATAAGGTGCCAATAAAAACAACAAATACCTGATAAAAAAGGTTACCACTTAAAATATATGTTATGATGGCTCAGAATACACAATTAAGTTCGATTGCCATAAACCCTGATTAACTTAAGTTGAGGTGAAAACACTCTACACCTTGAGGAAGCTTTTGATTATGGGACACATTTTGGTACCAAAAACAACTACTACTAAGGCTTCTAACCAAAGTCGGTCCTTCTTCATCCTTCTGTTCAAAAAATATATAAGGTGCCAATAAAAACAACAAATACCTGATAAAAAAGGTTACCACTTAAAATATATGTTATGATGGCTCCGAATACATATAGGTAAAAGTCTTTTTCTCGTGATAAATTGAAGCCATCAGCTATGTATACCAAATTGTGCATTTCATTCATATTGTGGGACTATTGAACCAAAACAACACAACTAACAGTATAGAATCACTTATTTAAATAAACTGAATTTCAAAAAGCAACCTAAATCTATCTCAATGCAACCAATTTCAAAAATCTTGCCAATTCATTTATGAATAAAAGAAGATAAAAGAGGGGCATAGATCCGTCTAAACACCATGAGAAACCAATTAGAATAAAAGTTATATAAAGGCTCGGAATAAAAATACGTAAAATCATTTTCACAGAATAATGAGAGCTACATGTTCATTTCATTCATATTACGGTAATATTTAACCATAACACTACACCTAACCTAAGTAGTATGAATATTTATAAACTCATTCCGAACCCATATCTGATACGTATCCAAGTTTGGATACTCTCCAATATGCCCTGATATGTACCGGATACTTGTCTTTTTATTATTTTATATTTTTTATATCTTCAATACGTATTTTTAAATTATTTCTAATACAGTATCGGATATGTTAGGACACGTGCAGAAAAATATATTGATTTTAAAATCTTTTAAAATTCATTATTATTGACAAAGTTTTTTACTTCATAGAATACTATTGTTATCAATAGATAATGTTTATTGAAAATACACCTAGAGTTTTAAAATAATTGACAACTAGAATTTTTATATTAAAAATACACAATAGTAATAAGGTATTTTTTGGGTCAGAATGCATTTTGAAATATTAGATTGATGAAAATTGTATGGTTAAAAAATAAGGAAAATACACCTAGAGTTTTAAAATAATTGACAACTAGAGTTTTTATACTAAAAATACACAATAGTAATAAGGCATTTTTTTGGGTTAGAATGCATTTTGAAATATTAGATTAATAAAAATTGTATGGTTAAAAAATAAGAAAAAGTTTTGGGTTTGCGTGTAATATTATTTTATTGAAAAACGTGTAGTTGAAAAGAAGAGAAAAATGTATTTTGAAAAAAATAGGAATCAAACAAGGGCTAAATGTTTTAATACATGTAAAACCGTGTTAATCGTTGACAAATATATTTTTATTAATAAAAATAGTTAATGATTTAATACAAGTAAAATCATATTAATAAATTATACATTAATTAATCAAACTTCACTACATATTTATTAAATTGATTTTTATACTAAGCAATCTACGTCTTTTATCAAGAAAATTAAATCTCTATTCAAAATGAGAATCCAAAATGTGTGGAATTGTTGGAAACTTATTTGATACTCTTGAAAGTGTTTGTCTGCTTGAAGTTGTATCAGCCTACCCTTTACATATCGTATTCGAATTATGTATACGACTCCATGCTTCGTAGCATCTAACACTACAGAATTATGTACCTAAACAAACTAAATTTCAAAAAGCATCCTAAATGTATCATAATGCAACAACCCAATTTCAAAATCTCGTCAACTGATTTATGAATAACATGATAAAGCAATGGTAATTCCGTCTTAGACAGCACAAGAACAATTAAAAAAAAAAAAAGTTCCCTTGTCATAGACCCTGATTTAAATTGAGCTGCAAAAACTAGTTGTCGTTAAAAATAATGCTACTTGTATATAAGTAGTTACAATAAGTTTACAAATAGACAAGGTGTCAAGAAGAGCGTGGAAAAAAAGATTTCAGAAGAAATTCTGGCCAATCATATCTCATCACAACATATGTATGTACACTAATATGTAAGTGGTGATGTACATGTAACGTAACCATTTATGGGTACATTTTTCATACGGAAAACAACTACTAAGGCTTACTCTTGAACTCGGCGCTTTTTAATCCATCTGTTCAAAAAGTTTATTTAGCTACCAAATAAACCCCTAATTAATTATTTATTTTTTAATAGTTATCATAACACGATTTTGTGAAAGCAAAGTGTTTGTTTCTTGCAAGTACTAGACATAAGTAACGTCTAAAAATTTTATATGTAGAAAAGAAAAGAAACACTCAAGAAATTGTAACAAAACCTTAAAATCAGCTCACAAGGGGGCAGCACCCAAAATCCTTATAAAGCCACAAAGCATGCCATTCACGAGGGATATAATCAGATAGTTACCGAAATCACAAAATATACAACAGCAGCAGCAGCAGCAGCAGCAGCAGCAGCAACAACAACAACAACGACGACAACAAAGTCTACACTTAGGAGAAGCTTTTGATTATTGGCTGTCAAGTTTTGGTACCAATAACAAGAAGAATAATTATATACAGCTAACAGCCCCATTGGGGTTGGTTACAGCCCCACGTTAGCCCAATAGGCTGGATTAAAGGTGAAATTTATCATTTAATGTCACCTTATCGCCACCTGAACTGAGGGTGTAAGCCGGTGGGCTAAATAGCATTACTCTAACAACAACTGCCAGCGCTTATTCCAGAAGTCTGCTATTTTAACATTCTGTTATAAAAATATATCTAAGTAAAAATAAAAACTTTTTTTTAACAATTATCAAGAAGCCCTCATCAAGAATTCAAAACGAAAAAAAAATAAAAAACAAGCAAAAAAAAAATTAAAAAACACCTGTTCTTGGAGGGTGCGGGCAAGGGCGAGATCAGCATCGACCTGGCTGAGGTCCGTAAATGGAGTTTTCTGACGCCGATTGTTCTCAGCTTCACTATTGCTATTGATTAAGACGTCGTTTGACAAAGTATTATTGTCATTGATCCCCGTCCTAGCGTTCTGTGTAAGATCTTCTTGTTCGCAAGTATTACTGGTGCTAGCTTTCGAATTTGTGTTCTCCATTTCAAAATTCGCACTAATCTAATCTGAATTATTCTGTGTTGTTTATCAAATAGGAGAGGATATTCGATCTGAGAGATGAGAAAGGGAATAATGTAGATGAAGAAGAGCGTTTGTTTGAAATTGATTTAAGAACAGTGATTTGTCATGGTTGATAAAGTAAAGTTGAAAGAAATGAATAGTTCGAAGCTGGCCGTACTAAACCCAGGCCATATGGACAACCCTGCCATGCCCTTTTCAGTTTATTTATTTTTATTTTTTTATATGATAGGGAACTCGTCATCACTCCCTTCAGATGCGTACTGAATAAATTCTCGGACCGCACTTTTGAACTTTATTTATTCATGTAGACAATTTAAATTTCACAAGTATCCTTAATTAATTTGATTTGATTTAATAGAATAGTTGCAAAACAGTACAAAAACATCCTATCAAATCCATCCAAACCAACTCAACCCACACTTGACCCCACCTTCTAAACTCACATTTCCCAACCTCAACCCACCCTGACTTTTTGAACCCACAATCCACTCTCTATTCTCTTCTTTTTCCACAAAGAGAAAGCTGGAAACAAAAAATCAATCCATTGGGAGATTGTTCTCAAGTTCAATTTTTGATAAAGTTTTACATAACTTCATTGATATGTTGAAATTTATTTGTAATCATACTAAGAATCACCAAATAATAAATTAATAAAACGAATTCATACGTGCAGAAGTCATCGTTGATATGAATAATAGTTGTAATTGTAATACCAGTCAAATCTTCCCCTCCTTGCTCCTCACAAAAGTGTTGGTCATCAATGGGGCAAGTCAATAAAATCATATGGAGAGGAGAGGAGACATAACGTTTATATAGGAATTTATTTTGTCGTCCCATTATCAACTTAAACCCTAATTAGGGTTTTCGCATAATTTCGGCCCATATACTCGAAATTGCCACATTATATCAAAAAAAGCCCCGTAAGGTGTAAAATGGCTCAAATTGATCACTTAACATAATGGCATAATCATAATGTCATTATGAGTCATACATCTAACCTGTAAAATTTGCAATTGAATTAAAAGCCCACATATGGAATTATTCCAACATTCTCTCAGCTGGGCAAACATTTGATTGCTATAACAAAGTTTTAACACCCGAGTTAGACTACATAGGTGGTCACAAAAGTATAGCTCCAATGATGACACCTTACGTAACATGATCCGGTCCAACAAGAATATTAACACCAAACATGGAAGTCGTTACACCAATTAAGCGATGTAAGATCATTCCACGGCTACAAATGCCAACATCCTTATCGACATAGATCTCCATCCTCCAACCAATGTGGTAGTATGTGGTATGAACTTAGCACCAAATGTGATAAAAAAACTTTGCAAATTCATATCGGTCCTTATAATGCTTTAGGTCAAAATAAAGCTACATGTCTCCAAAAGAGACTCATCTTATGTCTTTATCTGTCATACCTCGAAATCCCAATAATATCATAATAAAAAAAATAAGTCAAATGTATGCTCAAAATAATTCATGGATAGGGAAAAATATATTTTATTTTTGATAGAGGGGTTGTACCTAAAAACATATGGGTTATTTACGTATCCCGCAAAGGGATCAAGTCCAAAACATAGTTCTTTTACACAAATAACTCCCACTATCCAAAAATATCAAATATTTTCACAATGCCCATATTAGCAATATGTATCTTAAAGACTTTGGAGCGAGTCCCTTAGTCAAACGATCTGCAATCATTGCATCTATATTGATATGCTCTATTTTCATCTGCCCTTTCTTAACTCTGTCTCTAACCACCAAATATTTGATGTCAATATGCTTTGACTCACCAGAACTTTTATTATTCTTTGAAAAGAATACTGCTGTAATGTTATCACAGTATATGATGATTGATCTTGAGATGAAATTAACAACTTTCAAGCCAGAGATAAAATTTCTTAACCAAACGGATTGGACTTTAGCCTCATAACATGCCACAAATTCAGCTTACATAGTAGAAGATGCCACTAGAGTCTGTTTAATACTTTTCCAAGAAATAGCACCACCAGCTAATGTAAAAATATAACTTGAGGTTGATTTCAAATCATCTTGACATCCAGCAAAATCAGAATCTAAATATCCTATCACCACAAGATGATTTGAACGTTATAATGTAAGCATATAACTTTCAATTTTCTTCAAATATCTCATTACTTTCTTAGCTGCTTTCCGATATTCTTGTCCTGGATTAGATTGAAAATCTGCTAAGGATACTGATTGCGTAGACTATATCCGATTTAGTGCAAACTTGAGCATACATCAAACTCCCCACAGCACCAGCATATGGAATCATCTTCATTATTCCCTTTCTAGCTCATTTCTTGGATATTGAGTTTTGTTAAACTTATTTCCTTTTATGATAGGTACATCATCAGGTGTATAGTTTTGCATATTAAACCTTTCTAGAACACATCATATATAAGCTTTCTGAGAAAGTTCCAATAAGTCACGATTTTTGTCACGATATATTTCAATGCAAGTACATAGGAAGCTTCTCCAAGATCTTTCATCTCAAAATTAGCAGACATCATTTTCTTTGTCTTATGAAGTAACCCTAAATTACCGTTAGTAAGCAGAATATCGTCAACATACAGTACAAGAAAAATAAAATTTCTCCCAGTGGTTTTGAGATAAATGCATTGATCAATAGTATTTTCAACAAAACCAAGAGAGGTCACAACCTCATCAAACTTCAAATACCACTGTCGAGATACTTGCTTGAAGCCATATAAGAATTTGTTTGACTTACATACCAAGTTTTCTTTTCCTTTCACAAAGTTTCATGTAAACTATTTCAGAAAGATCTTCATTCAAAAATGTTGTCTTAACATCCATTTGATAAAACTCCAAATCGTAGTGTACCACAAGAGACATGATAATTTGAAAAGAATCTTTCGACGAAACATGGGAGGAGGTTTCAACATAATCAATGTCCTCTCACTGAGTGAAACTTTTGCAACCAATCTTGCTTTCTTTCATTCAACATTTCTTTTTGAATTTAATTTACTTTTTGAAAATCTACTTGTCATCTACAGCTTTGGCATCTGGAGGAAGTTCAACAAGATCCCAAATTTTATTCTTTTCCATAGAATTCATTTCATCTTCCATGGCAATTATCCATTTATTTGCCTCGGAACTTGTCAATGCTTGATTATAAGTTACAGTATCAATGATATGCCCAATATTAAAATCGCTCTCCAATAAGTATGTAATATAGTCACTGGGCAATCCAGATCTTCTTTCCCTTTGTGATCTTCTAACTTGTGGCTCAAAAACCAATTCAATCGTTGTTAGAGAAATTGGAGGTTCCTCGGTTCTTCATTAAAAATTTCAATTGGTTGAGAACCAACTCTTTCATGTATAACAGGAACTGGAACAACAACTTGATTTGATTCAACAAGAATTTCTCTCAATGTAGAACTCCCACCATCTCCAAAATCATTCTCCAGAAACGTAGCAATAATGGATTCCACAATTCTAGTGCCGCGATTTGGACAAAAAATTGTGTATCCTTTTGATCTATACGGATACCCAATAAAGTAACCAGGAGTTGATTTAGGGTCTAATTTCTTTTCAAATGGATTATAAATCCTAACTCAGCTGGACATCCCCAAATTTTAAAGTGAGCCAAACTTGGTTTACGTCATGTCCATAATTCAAAAAGGTGTCTTTGCAACAACTTTACTTGGAATTCTATTCAAAATATACGTAGCAGTTTTCAAGGCTTCATACCATAAATATTCAAGAAAATTTGTTCTTCTCATCATGCTCCCGACCATATTTAGAGTTCGATTACGTCTTTCAAAAACACCATTCTGCTCAGATGTCCCTAGCATGATGTATTGGGGCACTATTTCACATTCTTGTAAAAACTTTACAAAATCACATATATTTTGACCAGACTCGTCATATTTCTCATAGTACCCACTCAATGGTCAAATCTCACAACTTTGATATTTTTCCTACATTATTTTTCTACTTCTAGTTTGAAAATTTTGAATTTCTCAAGTGCATGTGATTTATCGTTAGTCAAGTAAACATAACCATACCGTGAGAAATCATCAATGAAAGTTACGAAGTATTTGTTCCCACATATAGTAGAAGGTAAAGGTCCACTGATATCAGTGTGTATCAAGTCCAAAATGCCATCGCTCCTTGTAGAATCTTCTTTATAGACTTAGTTAGCTTTCCTCTTATACAATTTACAGTCGAAATCAGAAAGGTCTTACGGGGGAAATCTCAATTTTTACCAATCTTTCCATTCTATAATTTGAAATGTGACCCAATTGCTTATACCACAATATAGAGAATGATTCATCGACTAGAGATCTTTTCTTTTTACAGAAGTTACATTGACCATTTTCTTTATAGTTCCTTTGAGACAATCAAAATTTTTATTCTGCTGATTTCGGTGTGATTTATTATCCTTACGGAACTTAGACTTATAGTTATACGAAGCCCCTTGTTTTGTGATGGCTGAAAGGCTAATTGCACACTTCCAATAGTCTCACGGTGCATCCTATATTCTTTTTGGGCACACACTGCTATAAGGTCATTCAAATCTCATTTATCCGATTTGATCTGCGTGAAGAGGGGCTGGATAGTAGACCTCAGGATTAGTCACTGTAAGGTGTACAACTGGTTATCAAAAAAAAATCTCATTTATCCGATTGAGCATTGTAAGTCACCTTAAGCAGATTAAACTAGCTAGAAATGCTATTTAATACATGATAGACCTTGAAAGGCTTCCAATGAGAATGTTGAGAGCCTTTAATTTAGATGATATATTTATCATTTTCATGACATGCTCTCTAACACCACTTGTACCATCATATTTCATACTCATCAATTTATCAATCATATCCCCAGTTTCAGCTTTATCAGACCCAATAAATTTTTCTCCTATGGATTTTCATTATCGGGGATGGCACATAGAATAGAATCAGATATCGATCGCTTAATGATTTTTAAATAGAGTTTATTAGTCATTTCCCACTTTTCATATTCGGCTACATATTCAACAGTACTCTTATTTGTGGGTTTCTCAAACTTATTGTCCATTGCAAAATCCAAACTCAAAAAATCAAGTGCTATTTTTACGTCTCGTTTCCATTTCACACAGTTATTCCCAATCAAGGTTTTAATAGTAGACAATTGATTCGAA